GGGGGCGGCGGGGTTGTGGGGGGAGTATTTATACCCGCGCGTGCATTTTCGGGAGCGCACACGCTGAAACCGAAGCGAAGGTGAATGAGTCTTTCCAGAGTCGGGAAACATAGTGGTGGATGCTTAGTGTCCCTCTGCACCCTGCCCTTGTCCTTCCCCCCCATCCCCAGGGGGTCCCAGCCCTCGGAGACCCGCGCTTGAAATTTGGGCATAAAATTTGAGCGGGAAGGGCCAGGGGTAGCAATTTTGGCTGCTGGGATGGGGCACAGTGCCTGTGGGAGGGACCATGGCTGCTCCTTCCCTGCACCCTGGTGCACTAAGCATGCTCCCCTGTGTTTCTCTGGCTAAGTACCCTAAAAATGCTGCACTGGAGCAGCCCTATACATATATAAATATATATTATATATAATATAAAGAAAAAAAAAACGAAAACACACACACAAAGGAAAAGGTAAATGGTTTTACTGCGATTTTTATTGAGACGTAAATAATATTTCAATTTTTTTGTTTTGTTTTTAATTTATTGAAGCTGTTCATTCTGGCAATGATTTGCAGACAATGTGGGGCGGTACTTTCAGCTCTATTTTTACTGTGTATGGTATTTAAATCTGAAATACGAGTTTCTAAGCAATATCTGAGGCCTGTGGCTCCTTCTATAGCTCATGTCGACGACAAAGATTTTCCCCGCCTTTCCTCCAGGCACAGCGACAAGGGGACAGGAGACTCTTCTGGGCACTTTTTCTAGAAATGAACAAGTGAATGAGCAAACCATAAAACACAAACTGAGCCAGAAAATTCTCTTCTGGAAGCTGCTGCCGCTTCTTCACCCCTTGATCTATGTTTGCTTCTCCTCGTCACCATCCTGGTCATCGCCCCCATCCTGGCCATCATCCTGTCCCAGCCATTGTCCCCATTCTGGCCATCATCACACCCCAGCCATGCCCTCCCCCTGCCCCGGGCCGCCCATCCTCACCGGAGAGGGGAAGGAGGGAGTCACCCGAAGCAGAGGGAAGGGTGCTGGGTGTCCAGCTGCGTGGGGAAGGGGAAGGTGTCGGAGCCTGCCACAGCGGAGGCAGGGAGGGGAGGCTGGTGGTAATTGGGATTTCTTGTCAGGGGGTGTCTTGCCGGCCTGCCCCAGCCCAGCTCCCCCTGACCCCAGGCACCTTGCTGGGGAGGTATGGGCACCGTTTTCCCATTGGGGACAGTGGTTGTTCAGGCTTCCCCCATCCTTCGCTTCACATCCAAGAAACTCATGGGGAGAGTGTTTGCAGGTGCCGGGGCTTCCCTGGCCCTGTTCCTGTCCAGGCCAGCTCCCCTCCTTCCAGCAGGTGATGAGCTGGCCAGACACAAAACTGCAAGCACACAGGGGGCACAAACAAATTACTTTTCAGAGACTTTTGGCTGCATTCTGTGATCCCAATGGGGAGCCAAGCTCTTGCCCCTGAACCCCAACATCAGGCTTACTGCAAAGCTGCTTGCTGGAGCTGTAGGCACTGAACTGCCTCCGCTGCAAAGTACATCTCTCCCTGCGGCTGTCTTTGCTTTCTCCCTTGTCTCACACTAGTTTGCAAAGCTAATACCTCAGGGGTCTCTGTTTGTGCATGTCTGTCCTGTGTCATCCTTGGAGTGTTGTTTTTTTCTTTTCTGGGTCCACACAGTTTCTCTCCCTTTCCCTTGTTCATCCTCTCGTCGTTTGTTCCTATCTTTAAATCAAACCACACGTGACAAAACCAAATGATCTCAGGTTTAAAACTGAACACAAAGCAGAGGCGTGAGGACCTGCAGTCGTGTGAGGAGGAGCTGCTCGCTTCAGCTGGTTGCTTCCCCAACCACCTCTGTGTCCACAGTCGAGGCGAGTCTCCCCAGAGGCTCCTTGCTCTCTTCAGGCCAGCTTTAGTTTTTCTGGTTTTCCATGGGGCCATTTGGTGAGATGCTGGGGACCCTGACATGCTCCTGCTTCATTCCCCGAGGTGTGGCAGGGAGGGACAGGGGTGGGTGGAGAGCCAGGGACCACTTGCCTCTCTCCCCATCACTTTTGATGAGGGCGAGAGATCTCATAGTCATCCCTTGAAAGCCCATCACCACCCATCGTTGCCTCCAGCAACCATCTCAAACCAGCTCAGTGTTGCCAACCTGAATATTTCTCCCTTCTGGCCATGAAAAGACAATTACACTATTTCTTGAGCTCCCTTTTTTAGATTTCATTAAGCATTTGTATCCATCTCATGAGCCAAGGAGCTATTCAGGAGCTGCACTCACAGCAGCATCTCCTAAGTGGGCATGTCAAGTCCAAGAAGGAAGGGGAAAAAGGTTTCATCCTCCCTCTGGTAAGCTCCCTGAGCCCAGGGTTAGTGGTGTCTGCCTCCTACCCAAGCAGTGCTGCTGGTCCCCCTTCCCCTCCTGCTGCCCTCGGTTGTGGCATTTCTTCTCAAGCATGCCAGGGTCATTGCCTGCTGATCTCTGCTCCATGTTGCTCAGCTCCTGCCCATCCTGTATTTCAACAGGGTTGGTGCAAACACAGATCAGCTGAGCTCAGGTCAGGCAAGTTGCTGGCAGGAGCTGGTTAGGTGTGGCTCTGGGCAACGGAGAAGGGGGCTAGATGGCTTACTGAGGGATTTCATAAAAAGAGGACAACAGATTGGCACCGCCAGGTGAGGAGATGAGACGAGGCACTAGCGAGCTGTTGGCTGACACAGCATGTTACAAGCGCAAAAAAAGCAGCTGGAGTGAGGCAGGAAGGAGAGGGCACATGTTGTAGATGGGACTCTGAATGTCTGCCAAGAGACAGATTCGTGGTTTGCTTTTGTCATCTCCACTCTGCCATCCCCTGAATGCTCCTCAGCCATGTTTGAGGCTTTAGGCACTATGGACTCCTCTCTCCTCTGAAACCAGAACGAAGAGAAGTAGATTTTAAGATTAGTAGATCATAACTGCCAAGAGACATTCATGACCCACCTCTGCAGCCCTATTTTGATGTATTTTCCATTCATCCTTTCCCTTTACATTGGACATGTGCACTAGAATCCCTCTCATGCAATATTTTAAAGCTGCATCGAGAGTATATGCCTTGATGGAGCAGCCCTGCCTGAGTGTCTCCTTCCAGTGCTGACCCAAAGTCACCAGGGCCACTGAGTGGCTTGCAATTAACTTAAAATATTTTTTTAAATCAGTTTCTGTCTAATAGACCACTAGATGAATCAGAGAGATGTGAGTTATCACAACTGAGTACCGGCTAGTAGCCCTCCCCATTATCTGTCAGCCAAGTCTTTTTATGGGCTCTCACAATCTGAATATCCAACCCAAAGCCACGCCGGAACCCAAAGTCGTCTTTCCGTGCCGATCTGATGAGGGTGCATTTATTCGTAGAGTGGCAGAAGTGTAAGCGGGGACGAGAGGAACGTTGTCTCCTCTCAGGGAGGGAACCAACAAAGCTGTTGAGTGCCGGATGGCTGAGCTTTCCACCACACAAAGGACAGAGCAAACGGCAGCTTTCCTTCAGGCTAGAAGGGGCATTGCACTCTTCTCTCCAGCCCCAGCCTGTCCCCGGGGCTGAGCCCCAGCTGCCTCTGAGGGGCTGAGCGAAGCCAGCAGGAGGGCAGCAATCAGGTCGGCAACACTGAGCCAGAGGCTTGGGTCAGAGCAGGCTCGTCCCTGGCCTCGGCAGCAGCGTCCCCAGTCCCTGCTGCCTCTCCTCTTTGTCTGCTTGTTTCTTTGGACATCCCTCCCCATTACATCTGCCCCTTAGGAGACGATGCCCCCCAGAACCCCCTCCTGATGTCCCCTTCTCCCTCCCATCCTTAATACTAATGATAATAAGCTATCAGTGTTGTCATTGCAATCTATGAATGATAGATTTGAGTATTTATGATTATTATTATGATTATTATGGTTATGATTCTGTACTTTTTTGCTTCTTACTCTTTGTATGTTGCTCTTTGTTTCTCTGTTGTGAATAAACGCAAGGCCCCATCACACCTTCTCTCTGCTCCCCACAGCCTGGCTGGGGCTGCGCTTGGCACAGCTCTCAGCTGTCCCAAGCCCCAGGAGGCAAACCCTTGTCAGAGGAGCTGGAGGGTGCTGCTTCCTAAGGGTATAAAGACACCCACACCCGGGGCAGGTCCATTCTCTTAACTCTTCCCTTCCCTTCCTGCGGCTCCTCTCCCCCGTACAGGTGCCTGCTCATGTTTGCAACAGGCAGGAACCCACTGGCACCAAGAACGGAGGCTTAAATGGCAAAAGCTTAAAGCTTTTGTAACAACTTTAAGGAGCGTTGGCTAAGCATCCAGCTCATGGAGTCCGCTCCCTCCAGGCTATGGTCCTCTCACCTTCTTCTGCTGGCTGCTCTCACAGACAGCATCTTCACCCGCAGAGGCTTCTTGCTCTGCCGTAGCAGCTGATTTGCAAAGCTCCCCCTGCTAAACTGAGCCCATGCGCTGGTGGCCCGTTTGAGCCAGGTGCCCTGGCCTTTCTTAGCTCGAGTGTTCTCCTCATGCCAGTGAGCTCCCCCTGCTCGGGGTCAGCACAGCCAGGGGAGGACACACGGCCAGTGATCGCACAGGCTCAGTAGCAGAGCAGCAGGGAGGGATGTGAGCAGCCTCCAGTACCTGGAGGGATTCAGAAAGGGGCTGGAAATGGCTCACAACATGGCACTGGATACAGCCTTTATCCAACACTGATAAATTGGGGCATCGTAAGCAGACAGAGTCCAGTGCTGCTTTTTTGCACCCAGTGCCTGGGCTCCCTGTACAACCTGGAGGCTTCCAGATGGCTGTAAGGTGGAGGAGACATTAGGGGAAGGGAAGAGGAACCCTGTCTGCACCATGCTACGAAACTGTACTGTGCCAGCCCCATGAAGAGTCATTTTAATTTGCGGGGTTTAACACTGCCCTTCTTCAAGTAGCCTGGGCACGGTCTCTTGTCGCTGTCGTGACTTTGCTTCGCCGTGGGTTGGGGTCCTACTCATCATGATGTGCTGAACTCATTTCCGAGGTTGCTCTGAGACCGCACCGGAGAGCAGAGGCCTCAGGTCTCGCCCCTCTCTCGGGGGACCCTGGCAGACCCCTGTTGGGGTCCCGGTCCGGCGTCACCCATCCTACCTCACCTGCCTTTGGGGCAGCCATGGACAGGGAGGGAGCAGGCAGGTCCCGACCATGCCGGGACTGAGCCTTCTCAGCTCCCGCCCCCATCCCTGCAGGATCAGGCCCTTCCTCAGCAAGCACAACACGGGGAGGGGGTCTGCACCCGCCCTGGCATACCTGGGGACTCCTGAGCAGGGAAGAGAGGCTCTGGCCACCATCCCCACTGTGCTCCCTTCCTTGCTGCCCATTCGGCCAGCGCCAGATCCGGGGAGACACCCTGCCCCTGCCTCGTCTTTATTTATTACTGGAGGCTGTAAACAGCAGTGCTTTTCTACCCTCTACTTTCTTTTCCTTTCTTTTGTATTTTGGAACAACGTGTTGTAATAAATACCCAAATAGGTGTTTTAACAGCTGGTGTCAGCCTTGGTTTTTGAGGGTCAGACCTTCTCAGGGTGGGGCTGGAGGAACCTCTTTGGGGGGTTTGGGGAGGGCAACACATTAATGGGGTCCAGAGCCACTGGAGAGCTGGACACACAGCCAGACCTGGACACACAGCCAGACCCATGTCTATGTATAGGGCTCAGCAGCTGGAAGCTGCAGCTGGACTAATTCAAAGCAGAAATAAGACTCATGGCTGAAGGAGCAGGGGGATAAAAATTAACTGGGGCATTCATGGGCCCAAGACTGCAAACAGCTGCTCTAGGGGTTTCTGATGATCTGGTGTGTGATTTGCAGCTCTGAAGCTGTAGGCAGGCACAGGAGCAGCCCCTTTCTAGTGGAAAGGACTGGCCAGGTCCTGCTCCAGATGGGTATACACAAATTTAGGGGTTTAGCACAGTTTGCCAAGCTAGAGAGCACAAAGGAATGGAGCATTTGCATTGAAATACATTCTGTTATTAATAGGTATTAATAATTATTTTTTTTGCCTCCCAGCTATGTCCTGCTCCCACTTTCCTCCTGACATGGTGGCAGCGTGTAGTCACACACTTGATGTGCACTACAGCTAAACTCTATAAACATCCGTGGGTCCCCCCAAAGCCAATGGAGCCGTCGCCTCTGCCCCACCACAGCAACTGTGCTGTGCTCAGGGGGCAGCCGGCGGGCGCCGACCAGCAGCCCCATTTCAGCTGGGCTGTGCTCAAGCGGAGGCCGGTGGAACCGTTTCACAGCTCCCCCCTGCAGCAGGTTTGCTTTGGAGGGAGGAGAAGGCGTGAGCAGGCTCCCTGCAGCTCTGGCTCCAGAAAGCTGCATCACTTATTGACTTAAACACATAAGGGACATCCATCCCCACGGCTGTTTTCCACAGGCTGGGCTAAATCCTCTGGACTTTTATAAATCCATTCCCCTCATCCAGCTGCACGCCCTCCTCTCAACCACTCATTGCCGTGCATGACATGGAAAGGGAAAATTATTTAATACAGAAACATGACAGTTGCTCCCATCTCCTTCCCCATTTACCTGCTCCTGGCTTTGTTTTTCCAAACCCACTGCCCCGAGGAAGATGTTGCAGCAGAGTCCTCAGGGCTGACATCTCGTTTTGCTGCTTCCAGGGGCGCAGCTAAATCATGTTTTAGAAATTCCCTCTGGGCCAGGGGACTGCTGGGCCGTTTGGTCCCTGGCAGCAGCGCCCATGCAGGAGGGGACCCAGGTGGTGTTGCAGTGTGTCTGCTCTTAGGTAAGTGGAGGGTCTGCCCCTGGCAGCACAGCTTCCTCCCCCTGCCCCAGTGCCAAGGCTGCCTCTCCTCTCCCTCCTCGTGGTTTGCACAGCAGAAACCATTACTGCAACGAGAAACCCAGGAACGTCCTTTTTCCAGCTCTCGGGTTTTTATTGACTCAGAATGGCTGCCAAGCCTATAAATAAATGTTCCTTGAGCTAAATATAGCAGCCACTGAAATAGGCTGCTGACTATTTATTTAGCTTGTGGCCTCTTTGAAAGCTTGCCGGTCCGTACTGCCTTTACTTTCACGCCATCCACCCCAGGCTGTGGCCACCCACCATGGGGGCATGGCTGAGTCAGCGTAGAGAGAAGGGGTCACCAAAAGTCAGCCCCATCTCCCCAGGGCTGGAGAGCCAGGATGGCAGGGTCTGGCAGCTGGAGGAGCTTTGGCCCCCTGTACCCCTGCCCAAAGAGCTGGGGATTCCCCAGGAGGGACATTCACTGGAGCGGTCGGGCAGGGGCTGAGCCAGCCACAACCCGGTTTCCTCTCCTGGGAGGACTCAAGGACCTTTTTCCAGCACTGGAGCCTGGAAAAGAGAATTTATCATCTCCTGCAGGTTTTCCATCATTAAGTGATGTGCTTTTCTTTGCCACACTTTGCAGGAGTGTAGATACTCCCAGTGCACAAAGATGCTGTGTGTCAGGACCCTGGGGGCACCCAGGGGCATGAATTGACTCCCACCCATGCACCCCTGCTCAAGCCAGGACACTCCAACCTGTACCCCGAGCCATGCCATGGCTGTGACCTGGTCTCTGGCCCCAGGTGCCAGGTGGGCCTCAGGCAGTGCTGCAGCTGTGTCCCCCACTGCTCCTGGTGGGACCCCCAGCTTGGCCCTGCTTCACTGCATGTCTGGGAGATGCCACCTGCCACGTGGGTGAGGTGCGCCTTTATTAGCCACCGCACGGATGGGATGTGTGTTCCTCCAGAGTCCTACTGGGTGTGTATCAGTGCAAGAAGGAACGGGCTTCACTCTTCCAACACTGATAGAAAAACAGGTGAGGACTGCTCCTGTGCTGCAGACACTGAGCCTACACCCTGAGCCTAACAGGATGCTGCTTACCTTGGGCTGTGACGACTTTGCTGCAGCTCCATGCCAGCAAAGGGAAAAACCCCATCACTCCCTGGAAAGCCACATTTGCTCCTGGAGCAATCCAAGACATTAATAACACTTAGCACTTACAGGGAGTTTTGCTAAACATGAGCTAATCCTTATAGCACCCATGGGAAGGAGAAAAGTAATTATTGTTATTGGGCTTGATTTTTCCTTTCCCATGTACCCCTGCAGATGGGGATCAGCTCTACCAAATCCAGAGAGCTCTGGAAATCAGAGAAGAATCCCACTCACCCCAGCTTTTACAAATAGGAAACCTGGAGCAAAGATGACAGGTTTTTGCCAAAGACCACCCAGGAAGGCAGAGTTGGAGCCAAACTATAATAGTGTGGGGGGGAAATCCTGGACCCCAATCCTGCTCCTACTCCACCAGGCCATAATTCCCCAATTGACAGGGTAATTCTGGTCCCCTCGTGGGTCCTCACCTGTGGGATGCCAGAGGGATGTGGATGCTTTGTATCACTGCTTACCTTCACACTCCACAATATCACTTGACAAGGCGGTGAGACACTGTGCTCTTCGTGGCAGTAGATGCAGACAAGGCTCGAGCATATTGGTTTGGATTAGTACTGCAGTGAGTCCCAAAATTCCCACTCATTAACCTCCTTCCGGAATGACAGCGCCGGACCTGCTGCCGTGTATGGTTGACTCCACCAGCCCCCAGCCACTGGGCAAGCAGCCCCCATCGCTGTGGCCAGCACAGTGCTGGCAGCACAGGGGAAAAGGAGCCTATGGGCCAGTCCCTGGGCTTGTCCCAGTTGTGCTGTGTCAGAGCAAGGCTGGCTTAGAGAGCTGAGATGCTGCTGGGGTCCCTCTTGGAACATGAGGTCCCTCTTGAGGCACAGAAGGGCTGGACTGGGATGCCTTGCATGAGAGTGGAGACCAAAATGAGGGTCAACTGTCTGCCTGGGTCCTTTGCAGGGTGAAACAGCAGTTTTAGGGGTCCCTAAAACCAGTAATGCTTCCCGGCCACACTCTTCAGCTGAAACCTGTGCACTCATTGTCTGAGTGGAAATACTGTCTGTCGGCGGTACCCAGATGATGTCATTTAGTTTTCCACGCTTCTGGGCTGAGCCAGCAGCTTGAGCCAGTATGACTGGAGATGCTTTATTTAGAAGGAGCCCAAGAGCAACTGAGCCCAGGCCTTTGCGGCACCCCTCTGCCACCTCCCTTCCCTGCTGATGCAACCCTGGCTGCAGCAGGGATGCCAGGTTGCTCTTGGGAAGATCAAAGTGGGACCCTGTGGGGTGAGTGGGAAGGGGGGATGCTTCAGGGGGCAGTTGAGGGTGATGCTCAATCCGTGTTGCCTGCTGTCTCGGGACAGGGAATCTCCAGCTCCCTCTGGGCAATGTGCCCATCTCCCCAGGTGCCTTTTCCCTCCCTCCAGCTCCCTGAGAATCTCAGCCTGAGCTCCCTGTCACGGCAGCAGCCACCACCCTCATCCTCACACTTGCCATCTCCAGTCTGGGTTGATGCAACCGAACCTCATGCTGGCTCTGGGGAATTTTGAGTTGGAAAGCAAGTGTTTTCCACCACTGACACCCCTTAACCTGCCTCCTCTCCCTCGGCAGCATCTCCTGATGGGCTATGAATAGCCCTGCCGCCGGCTCCAGGCTGGTGCTGTTTGCTGAGTGACTCAGAGCTGGCCGGGCAGGCACTTACTCAAAGGGCCCCATTACTCATCTGTCTGCATTGCCCGAAGGATGGGGTTTGTGTCTCTTGCTCACCTCTCCTTTAAGATGCTTTATTTATTTCTTTTTAATAAAGCTGCCATCCACAAAGAGAGGTAATTATTCTGTTGTGAATTTACCACTAAATATGTGTGCCCCGACCCAAAATGCTGCAACCCCCATCGATCACGCTGGCAGCCGCTCGGTGTTGCTCCTGCTCGCTGTCTTGCCAGGAGGAAGCTGTGTGGGCAGGAGCAGGGCAAGACAAAATGCCTTCCAAAATCACATTTCATGGCACTAGTGTTAGCATGCAAACAAAAATCGTCTCCTCCAGAAACCATCCGTGTTGAATGCCAGCATGGATCTGGCTGTGCCCAAATCCAACTGGCCCCTCAGATGCCTATGGCATGACCCAGCTGCTCTCATCTTGCCCACAGCCCACACTAATTGCAACCCTCCTTCTTCTCCACAGAGTGTCTCATTGCCCAGTGGGTGCTGCGGTGTCTGCAGAACACCTTGGCAAATTAAAACGGGCCTTCATGTTAAAAAGAGGCTCCATTTCCAAACAACAAAAAGGCAGCATCTTCCCCATCTGGTTTGCTCCCCCAAGGCACTCTCTGAGTCACAGCCAGTCGTGCTGGGAATGGAGCTGCATCCTGACCAGCACGCATCTGTGTCTGCAAGGCGCTGCCGTGCCAGCCCTGTCACTGCTGGGGCAGGACACGGCTCCTCCGCCTGCCCCACTGCTGGTTGCTCGGGATGTGGCTATTGCGGCGCTGGCAGCAGAGTTGGAGGAGGTGCAGGGGAATAGCATTTTATTCTCCTGTTGCTGCTTCAGCCCCGTAGTCTCTCTCTTTTGCTGTTCTTCAGGCTCTTCTTCCAGTTCTTTCAAGCCCGCCACTTCATGGTGCTTCTCTTTAACCCTCCCATCATCAGGGGCCCGTTATTCCTACCCAAGATGATTCACAAAACCTTGGCAGCACCAAGAGATCTACCTGAGAGCAGACACAGCCCCTGTGCAGGGGCACACCCAGGGTACCCTAAGCCAGGTCAGGTTTGTGTCTCGCAGAGATGTGCATTGGGTGCAAATAGATCCATCCTGCATGGAAGCAAGCAGCTGGTCTGGATTTGGGCTGTGGCTGGGGTGTTCCTCCTCACCACCCTACCCTAGGTCTCTACATAACAGATGCTATGGGCCTGATCCTGCACCACTCACCTGGGGGGAGCCTTTCCCTCCATCCAGGATGAGCAGGCCTCAGTGCCTCTCCACAAAGCTCTGCACAGGAATGCTGGGGGCTGACGCCTCAGAAGAGATGGTGTCCCCAGCTCTGCAACACTGAGTTCAGCCAAGGCCGATGGCAGCCAGGGGTGGAGAATGGAGGGAAGCAGGAGCCTGGACATCCACCAGATGGTGGGCTGGAAAAGAAGCCCCTGCATGCCCTGTTAAACACCTATTTGTGTGCTCCCTCAGAGACCTCCCCTCAATGTCAACCCATGGGGCCATCTGGCTGGGCATGATGCTGTAGGAGAGCAGGAGCAGGCTCGCTCCCATCTCGAAGCCCCGAGTACTGCCCCACAGCATCCCTCACACTGCCGAAGGCTGCCAAGTGGCTGGTGGCAACCCCGAGGAGAGAGGGCACAGCAAAGCCAGGCCGTGCCAGAGGAGGCAACAGGGCATCAGTGGCCCAAACCAGAGCTTTGTGGGACACCTTTCCCTGTCACCTGCCTCAGAGCCGGGCTCTGAGCAGGGCTGGAGGGAAGTCCTTGAGCTGGGTCTTGAGCAAAACCGTGCCCTGGCCCTGCCGAGCCCGGCAGCCCTAGCAGCACCCAGCCTGCAGTGAGGCGTGTGAGCAGCCTCTAGTGGCAGCTCCTGACGGCTCGGGAGCGCTTTAAACCACCAAAATCTTGTCTATGCAACACCAGGCATTGGGAAAGGAAAGTTTACCCTCATTTCATGTCCTTCAGGAGCGCTCGGGGTGATACTCGGTGCTGGACAAGCCCCATTTTCAAGCGTGCTGAAGCGCTGCTGCAGGTATTTGCTACAAGGAAGACAAGGAGAACGAGGAGGAGGAGGAGGAGGAGGAGGTAGTGATGGAGCTGCTCACTTGCCTTGTTGGACAGATGCAGGATAGAAGTCTGGAGGGCGCAGCTGCCTGCAAGGCAATAGCCCACGGTGGGACAGGAGCCCCCAGCCTGGCTCTGGCCCCAGCAGGCTGTGTGACAGGAGGAAGGGCAGATGCCTGCCTCTGTGCTTCAGCTTTGAAATTTTTCACACCCTACAGGTGCAAATTACTGCGTAAAAACAAGGCCATGCTGGTTCAATGTCTCTGCAAGCAACTGGCCCTCCTGCAGCCTGGCTGGGAGGGACACATCAGCTCTGGTGTCCACGGGGTCCAGCTCCCATCTCATCATCAACACAGTGGCCACGCATGGTACCATGGAAGGGGAGGGTTCCATGTGCTTGTAAAAACCACATCTGTCCTGCTTTATTCACCTGAACCACGTGGTTCAAGTCTTTTGTATCTCTAAATCCACAGAGGACCAGATTTGGGCTGGGGCACTGGCAAACTGAAAGCACCAAGATTTGGGCTGCTGACAGGTGGCTGTACAAGATGCTAAAGTCCTTCCCACTCCTAGGACACCCTGCTCTGCACCCCAAAAACTCCTGTACTGACATCCCAGCCTGTCCTCTTCATCAGCAAGAGAGGCCAGTGACAGGTCATCGCTGCTTATCAGACTGCGTGGCCCCTCTGTGACCCACGTGTGCAGTCCCCAACACCGGGAGCTGCGAGGAGCTCGGCAGCAATCCTTTCTCGCTCAGCCTGTCATTTCAGAGTGTGCAGGAATGCTGTTTCCTTCAGCCTGCCTTCAAGGCTTGGCTTTGGCTTTCTCCCGGCATCCCCTGGGCACAGTGCCGTGACGAAGCGTCTGCATTCGGGCCGTGGGAGTCTCCGCACAGTCGCTGCACAGCAGACTTGGTGGTGCCCCAAGCAAGGGCCAGACTGCCTCGTCTCCAGCCAGGGAGCATTAACCTTCCCCCACTAGAGACATTCCTCAGACCTTGCTGATGCCAAGCAAAAGTACATCATAAAGTCAAAGCGCTGCCGGGGCTGCCTCTCCCTGCCCTGCTTTCCCCATTAATTGCAGCACAGGGCATCCATTAGGGACAACAGCCAGGACGTGCAGGAGATGCTCCCCACAAGCACCTGGCACGCCTGCCTCTCACTCATTACAAACCTCTGGGACAGACTGACACAGATGACCAGGATATTTTGGTCATGCAGCCCCTGAGAAAATGCCCAGGTACCCAGGGCTTTGTGCCACTTACCCCTGCTGCAGGGTGAGCCCAGAGAGCTTTGGGTTCAGCCCTGGGTGATGCACTGAGAGGGGGGCACAGAGGGAACAGACAAATTAGAGATGGAAGAAGAGCAATTTCATCAGGGTGAAGGCACTGCCTGGTTAAGCAGTGCCCATGGGGGCTGTAGCTCTGCCTGTAAAGTCACTGGGATGCATTCAGATGACTGAACTTTCTGCCCTCCCCTTGGCCCCATAATTAGTCCTCTGAGTGACGCAGGGATCCTGAAGTGCTTTCAGCTCTGATGAGTTTGCTTAGTTGTGGGAACCTGAGGAAAAACGGAAAATTCAGTATTCCTCTGCAAATCCCATTCGCCACGCTCCCCCAGCTCCCCATGCTGCAGCACTGGGTGCAAGGCTGGCGCAGAGGAGGCAAACCCTGCCAGGCAAAGCAGGAGCAGGCAGCAAACAGGAATAGCTGAGGCTTAGGTGCCTCCTGCACCAGGCCCTGGGCATGGACTTCTGATGGTAATTGGCTTCATGCCAGTCCCACGAGCGTGCCCCTTGCACCCCTCCAAAGCCAGGCGATCAGATGTCCAGCAGAGCAGCGGGAGCATGGAGATCTCTTAAGAAGAGGAATAACCTCCCTGGACAGAGGAATCATTCTTCTTTGGGGTATTTTTATAGTAGAGTGGATTAAAGGGAACAGAGCAGCAAGATAACACAGATTACTGCAGGCAGTCATCTAGCTCAGATAACTTCTGTGGTTTCGCCAGCTCCACTGCTTGTTTGACATCACTCAGCCAAAGACCAAGCCTCAATACCCCTCCTCACCACAAAACCAGTCCATGCACAGAGAAGTAACGAAAAAAGATCCTCCTGCTGCCTCCTGTACCAGGCAGTGCTGGTGACAGAGCCGCAGAGATGGTATCAAGCCTTTATCTGACACGGACGGGCTGCCCTTGGCTCTGGCACCCACCAAGCTATTAGCAATGAGCTCACCCCTCTATTATCACTGATCCAGTGAGTCTGGAGGCTCTCGGAAGCACAGCTATCGATCCACGCCTCTTACACGTCCCCCTCGGGCCTTCAGTTTCAGGAAACCTCTTTGCCTCTCCTCTCCTTGTCTCTTCTCTGCAGCCTCCAGGAATGCTTTTCTGAGGGACCTTGGAGCTGGGAGTTAAGCAAAAAGCAACCGGGACTGTGGTGAGAAGGACAGGGATTTAGTCTGGCCAGCACTGCCTGTTTGTTTTGGCTGACTGTGTGCTTTATTCACCCTCTTTGTCTTCCACAGTGGAGGATGGGGAGGATATTTTCCCCCAGGTTAATGTTGCAGGTTAAGGGAGGGAAAGCCCGGTGCCTTGCATGGGAACCCTCCCTACATGGTCTCTGCTGATCCATGGCATGGACTTTCTGAAGGGGCTGTGCCCATGGCAGTCCTCTCCTCCCTCTCCCATGCTTTCAGAGCTGTCAGCATGACTTGTGCCAACTGGTAAACAGGCAACTGCATCTCTGTGCAAACTCACCCCTGCAGCACAAGCAGACAAGCCTGTTAGTCTGCTGGGGAGCACTCAGTTATGGTAATGATCAGCAGCAGCATCCCGCTACCCCTGAAGGACAATCCTGCACCCCTCAGGCTGCTTCTCCCATCCATTCAGGTCCCCCTTGCCCAAGAAAGCAGGTGGCAGGGTGAGGAAGCACAATGGGCAGCTGGAGCATCAAAAAAGACTAGTGGAGCTACAGCCAGAAACCGCATCATCTGCTCTGGGCTCCTTTCCTAGGTATGAAGCTAACAACTTGCTGCCCAGACACTTACAAAATGGGCTCCCTCACTCCCCCCCACAATCCCAAGAAGACTTTCAGGTGCCTGGGTGAACTTCATAAATGACTAATGAGCCATCGCAAACATTACTGCTAGTGCAGGCTGCCAGGAGCAGACCAAGATCAAGCCCTCCCTTGCATTTATCGGCTCCACCCAGGAAGCTGATCTGCCTTTGACAACAGCCAGATTAAGAAGCAGGCAGACGAAAAACCACCCGGTGCCCTGACCAGGCGAGCTGAGACACATGGGAAGGAGTGGCCATTGGCAGAGGGAGGAAAACTCATGTATTGCTACAGCCACCTTCATAGAGCTCCTCCAGAGAGGGGGATTTGGTGGTGGCTGTGCTTTTCCCTCGAGACAGGTTGGGGCTAGCAGGGAGAAGTTTCTCATTTTTGGGTGGGTTTGTGGACAACAGAGCTTTGGATTGCTCTGAAGAAACCTCCACACTCAGACAGAGTCCCAGTGCGACCAGCACAGGGGGTTTCATCTCTTTCTTTAAAAACTGCTCATGAGGCCCCAGTTTGCAGATGGGATACACACCATGGAGCCAAGGCCTGATCTCATGAAAGGACCAGCGGGTGCATTTCCATAAACTCCAAGGAGTTGTTTCAGTCGGTTCCACGTACATGAATGATGGTCCTATGGTAATAAACGGTGGCATTTGTTTTAAGTAATGACTTAGTCCTGGCACCCTTGGATCCCCACAAATTGGAGAAATTGCCCTCAGTAAAGCTTTCCTACCCCTCACCCTACACTCCCAGATTTCATGTAGTAGCACGTTACCGTGAGCAGGGGCCAGAATTTAGCTGACTCCTTGCATTTAATGTCCTTGCGGTTGTTGGAGTCAGAGGAGAGAGGACAAGTCGCCTCCCGTTGCTAACACTGCAAAGTAGATATGGAATAAACCTGACCTTCATTTACAGCATTTGCTGGAGAAATCAACGCTTCCTATACATAGAAAAATCAATGAAATGCCACTTATCAAACAAATCCCCATTGGTCTGAACCACTTGCATCAACGGAGCCTCACGCGGCCACCCATGCACCCCAAATCCTCTCCAGCAGCCTCAGTGACAGCTCTGCCTTTCCTTCTCCTGGCTGCCTTGGCAGGGTTTTTTTGTTTCTACCAGCACACGAATTCTGGCACTTGTGCATTCTGCTCTGAGCTGGTTTTGGGGAGCCTCAGCAGCACACTACATTTTTGCTGGTTGTGCCCTGCAAGTTGTTTGTCACCTACCCC